CCGTGTGGGTGAGTGATAGTCTGCTTTGGTTTTCATCACAGGCACGACAAAACAGTTTGTCACAGCGCCCCGTTTGCTGTCCTCTTTTCCCTCTCTGCCGATGGTTTTACCAGGCAGTCCTGTTTGACGATATATACGGTCCAACAGAATTGTCCCGTAAAACGTAGGCGTAGACGGAGAAGAGGACAACAAACAAGGGGCTATATAGTCAAACAGAACTTCTAAATATATCATTTTCCCCGGTTGACTTTCTGGACACACAACCTTGACTCATCTAGGCCCTGAAGTGGTACCCTCACTTGGGACTTTTTTGACAGATCCTGGACGTAATTGCAGTCACATACATCCTGGAAACTACTTGAGTGCTATGAAGGAATATTTTCATCATTGGTAATCTGCTTCTCTTGTGCATGTTATGAGCTGGGATTCACAGCTTTCTAAGGTGGCCTTCGCAGCTTTCAGGGCAAACCACCTAGCTATAGTCTCTCTCACAAGAGGAGACTCGGATAGTGACGCTGCAACCAGACCCCAAATGAAGCCCCATGGGGACTGGGTGCATTATTCCGTGGGATGGTCCACCGGTGCCAGTGCCGAGTGTGATTTGCTAACTGCTGCCCCTCCCTCTCTCCCCTGGCACTCTACGAATACAAAAGGCCCTCCTAATGCCAGCCGACTTGGAGGAGAGGTACCATGCACTACCTCGAGCTGGTAGGTACAAGCTTCCCCAGACAGGTGCAAATCGCACACGACGTCTTGAGTTTTAATTGCATGCCTCACATAACTGAGCTAGGCTGTTCACTCAAATTGCTCTTCCAACCATAACCGCACGGCCAATCCATTCTCAGCCCCCAAGGACGACTGGATCAGTCCACCATCCTCAACCCTAACCAGCATGCCTCTGCTTTGCATCCTTTACCATTTCGGCAGTGTCCATTGTTTACAGCTACCGATTCCACCTGAATAGAACGCCCAGTCATTATCGCCGCATCTGGACCGAAAGTTGTGCCAAATACAGCTATGATGACCGGGCGTTCTATTCGGGTGAAGACGGTAGGACTTGGTTATATATTTACATGACCTGACATGACATTGTACGTTGAACACAGAATATATCATTTTTTTTTTTTTTTATATTGAATATCCCAAGCTCCCGTTAATAAAGAACAATATAATTTCAATATATACTACACTCCAGCACTGAAAGAATCATTGTTTAAAAAAGAAAAAGAATCAAATTGTCCAGCACTTAGCGACGCTAGCGTCCATCGTTTACAGCTAGGACTACTGGGGTTGGGGTATCTAATCTGATTCCCTTCCCTAGCTGTCGTCTCTAGGTGTGTCAGTATTGGCCCGACAGAATGCTTTCGCCTTGGGCGTGCTTTCCCATATCTACGCATTTTGTAGGTCCACCGGAAATTCCCTCTGCCTCTACCGAACTCCAGCTTAGTAGTTTCTGATGCCTCTCTATGGTTAAGTCCTATGTTATAACAGCAGACTGGAAAAGCCAGTTATCACAGGCACAGGGTCCAAATTGGCCTCAATCTCGCTATAACTAGGGGCTGAGGATATCCCCTGCAGAGAATACAGTGGCCGACAAAGATGACAACTACGTAAGGCAGAAGACGAGCGACCGTTTTTTTTCCCCTACCGCATAGTCACCTAAAGAAGATACCTGATCTGTGTCAGCATTTTTTCGCACTGGAAATTCGACTTAAAAATTGCCAAATAATGCCTTTCTCAGCCTTTTGGCTAAGTTCAAGTGTAGTATCTGTTCCGATCAGTTTCATATCTGATCCACGGTCCATCAGGAAAAAAATAAAAATAAAAATAAAAAATAAAAATAAAAATAAAAACAAAATAAAATAAAAAATAAAAATAAAAAGCCAAAGTCAGGATAATCTGAATTTTGCACAAGCCCATGACCTCCTGAATACCGCTCACGTGCTCAACCAACTGAGCTAGTCTGCTTCGTCCATTCCATCCCCGCAGACCCGTGATACACCTTCAGATTTACCAGCGGAGATAACTCCGCTTGGGCCTCCTGTCTGGTCGTGGAAGTAGGCGCTTTCGCTTCCCATCTTGTGCCAGGTGTTAGGAGCAGGGGTACTGCTTTCCGCATAAAGCAGAGGCCAGAATCTAGCCCATAACCCTTAACGCTCCATGCTGAGAGAACAACATATAGGTAGGTAGGTAGGTAGGTAGGTAGTGGGAGGTGTAGGTAGGTAGTGGGAGGTGTATTACCTTACCGTATACACCAGTACGAGCCTCACTTCGGTCGAGAGGTGGTGGCACATATCCCATTATGACGCGCCAACGCTGCAACCGGCCGGCAACACCACCCGAAATGTCTTTTGGGTCGTGGTTGACGGTGGTCCACCTACCGCACGGTGGAAATTTTGCCGTCCCACCACCGGGTACAGGGCCCCGACGACTTTCTGTGCCGGTTTTACTTGGGCCCAGCAGGATGTGTCTTCCTGGACATACATATATGTAGATTAGTTTTTCGATCACCTCCCTTTCCCCGATACAGGAAGGCAAAAGGACGTCAGTAATGCCTATGATCTCCATGTGGATGGCTATACCCATGATCTAAACCTGGACATACCAAGGTGGATTCTGCCAGTGGCAATTCTGCAAAGTAGTCCTATACAACCGTAATCTGAGAACGCCGAGTGTGACAAGTGCCAGTCAGATCCATCTCTTCAGAAAACTCCACACTTGGGTATTCGTTACAGAAGGAAGAGATGGCCGCCAGCAGCATGTGAACCTTCTGTTGATGTCATCAATTTTCAGCTTCTTTTTTTTTTTATTTTTAATTCATCATGAAGATGCATACCCCCCCCCCCCCCCCCCCCCCCCCCCCCCCATCCCCCCCCCCCCCCAGCCTTGGAAAAGAACCCCCCGACCAAAAAAAAAAAGGATAGCGTTTTTAACTGTGAGCGAGCACACAAACATTCACACACACACACACACACACACACACACACACACACACACACACACACACACACCCCCCCCCCCCCCCCCCCCCTCCCCTCCTCTCTCTCTCTCTCTCTCTCTCACACACACACACACAAACACACACACAAAGACACACACACACACACAACACTACCGGTAGGCGTTTTCAGTTTGATTTTTTTCCTGCACTGTCTTTGTTTTATAGTTTCATTCTCCTCCTTGTTCTCAAATTTTCGTTTCAACTGGCTTTAGGCGGGTTGCCTGATCACCATCATCCTGCCTTGCATAGTTGCATAAAGTATTGCGAAATCATTTCCGAACAACAAAGCCATCATTTCAGAACCACACCAGTCTCACAACCATCGTCATTGCCATCATCGTCATCATCACTATCTTTTTCATCACACACACACACACACACACACACACACACACAATCAGTTTCATGTATGTACTTCCACTTTTTGTTTTTTTCTTAGTACCTTTTGTGTGTCTATGTGAGCACCTCCAAGAAGTGCCAAACAGTTGGTGTTACATTGTCTCAACTGCCTGCAGGACTCTTGGGGGGGGCACTCTGTTCACGATGTCTGTGATGCATACGGTCTGTAGGCGATGGTAGATGCCCGTCGCCAGCCGTCGGAGTGGCTTCCTGTTGTGCGAACCAACAGTCTGTGGGGTTCTACTTGTGTAATTGGTGAAATGCTTTGGTTCGTGTTGGATGTGTGAACTGCCTTGTCTCTGTGCTCCACGGCTGCTTTATTGTCCATCCCGCTTGCTCACATGACATTCTTTGCAGCTGGCGTGTTGTCGTGTAATATGGCTGCGTTGTTGTGGTGTTGCCCTGCACTTCGCTACAACTGTTGCCTTGAGTCCCACCTGCGTGACTTGTCTTCCTGTGCGCTTGCTTGTGTGCCATGTGCTGCTGCTTGGCAGTGTCGCCTTGTGCTTCGTTGTGTGTGCCATGCTGTCCGTCCACTTGTGCTGTCGTTCGATGCAGATTGTTTCACGCCGTGCAGTTTGGTTGCCCCGGCAGTGTTGCTTCGCTGAGACGGTTGCCTCCTGCCAGGTTCTGCTTCCGGTGTTGCCTGCTACCGTCTTCACCCAAATAGAACGCCCGGTCATTATCGCTGTGCATCTGGACTGAAAATTGCCCCAAATACAGGGATAATGACCGGGCGTTCTATTCGAGTGAAGATGGTAGCAGTCCGCTTTCAACAAGGGTCATCAAAAGATTGATTACCCAAAGCATCCATACGGGGATTCGCAGATTGTCGAGGGTTCACCCTCCTGACACATCGGTGTTAAACTATCATCCTTTTTTTTCTCTTCTCGGTCTTTCCTTTTTTTGGGACTTGTACTTTTCCTTGTGTGCTGCCTTTTGCCTCATTACTATTGCGTTGATGCCTTGTGTGGCGTTCTGCAGTTTCCCTCACCCCTTTGCGCTGTTTGTTTGCCCACCTGCCGCCCCCGTGCACTCCTGCCTATGTGGCTTGCAGCTGCTCTTCGTTGCCTTGCCGCCCTTCGCCTCAGTGTCTTTTGCCTCACTGCCTTTTGCTTGGCTGCCTTTCACCTTGCCGCCTTTTCTTCTCATGCTGCTTACTGGGTTACGAATATGTGTACGACTGTATCGTACATCAATTGTTATGGTATGTCACACACGGACAGTGAAGCCTCACATTCACACACACAAAGACCTGCAAGCCCCTCAGAGCTTTCGCTCTCACACTTTCGATCACACACGCAACCAGTGCTTCCATCAACATGTCGATTGTCGCAATCACTACGCGAATCCTGCTTTTCAGCGCACACATACACAGAGTCATGATCATTCTCGTCTCGTTCACCATTCCCCTCCTCCTCCTCTCGTTCACCATCCCACACATACACACGCAACCAGGGCTTTCATAGAGAAGATGACACCACAAACTACTTTCATCAGTAGTTTGTGGTGTCTATCTTCTCTATATGAAGATAGACACACCTGTTATTTATACTAACCACACAGTCAATTACTTAGGTAACAAGTAGAATTCCGCTTACGTAAAATTGAGCTTATATGAAGTTGCACTCGCAATAAAATTGTCCCCCCTTGCATAATAACCAATTGAACAGGCAGTGTTGCACAACACTGCTGTTATTTATGATCTATTTATATCTTCTTCTTTGCCTTCTTCTTCTTCTTCTTCTTCTTCTTCATCTTTTCTTTTCTTTTCTTTTTTAACCTATTCACGCATTCTTCGCCGACTCAGATACACTCAATATGAATGTCATCACCTTGCCACGTTTAAAACCACCGCCAAACGTATATCGCCGATGTACCTGCCCCCCCCCCCCCCCCCCCACACAAATGCACACATGTGCGCACTATCCTCTCTTTTTTTTCCCCACAGCTTTCAGTTTTTTTTTTTTTAACTGCCTTTCCCGTTCTTTCTCCCTTCCCTTTCCATTGTGTTTCCGTGCATCCATTCCCTTGCTCTCTCCGTCAATCAGGACTGCTTTCATCGAGATTCCGATTCCAATTTTGTGTCCGTCACTTCCGTTCAATTCTGATGGCTTCCCCTTCAATCACCTCCTCCATCCCTTCACTTTCCATCGCTTGCCTTTCTTTTCCATCACTCTTAGACTTCCCAGCCTTGCATTTCCGTCCCACACCTTCCAGTCCCTCCTGTTCTTTCCCTGCCTCCTTCCTCTCCTCCTCCTATTCGTTCCCTGCCTCCTGTTGATTCCCTGCGTACCTCCTTCACCCCTGTTCTGTCCCTGCCTTCCTCCTTTTCTTTGCCGTCACTTTTCCGCCGCCTTCTCTCCTTCCCTTCCCATTACCTCCTCCTTCCTGCCGCCTTCTATCCTCCCCCTCCCGTTACCTCCTGTTTTCCGTCATTTTCTATCCTTCTTCCTCTTCCTTTGTGAATATACCTCCCAGACCCGATCACTTTCTGTTCCACTCCATTTGATACCCTTCGCTGACTTGACTTGGAACTTTGAAGAGCGCTCCAGCTTGTCACGGAAATTGTATCTTACAGTCAGAAAGAAGTCGGCTCGTATCGAGCCCACCTGTCCGCCTACTTCACATCCGCATCCACGAGCAAAGACCTTAAGATGACAGCATTGACAGGGTCTGTACACCTTGCGCGTGTTCTCCGGCATGAACTCTACATGTAACCAGGCGCGACCCTGGTCCAGACAACAGGGCAGGTCCATAGGACGGGGATGACCACTGTCGCAGGGATCCAGTCCACCGAGAATGCAGTGCGACTGCGGTAGTCTCTCCGTTCCTCTGCATCAATTGCTAAAAGCAGACCCCCCAAATTAACCTCAATTCTTAGCCATTTCCCAACCTCAGCGATTCTGCAGCCTTGAGCCTCCCAAAACGAAAAAGAGTCATTGCCATACGATGCCATGTAGCAAGCCATCCCTCTTCCTCCCCTTCTTAGGCTATAAGAACACACACTTAAACCACCAGTACGTTTCCCATATATCGGCCGCAGGTGGGAATTCGCGGCCGCGACGAAAAAGGGGCCACCGATGACATTTATTAACCGGTGGCCCTTCCCCCGTTGGCTTCCGGATATACCGTCGCGTATCTGCAAAATGGCTGAGAAACGCAATGGTGGTTTAAAAGGATGTATATGCGCTTGCAAATTTTGGGCAGATGCTGGTCATACACTGAGGTGAGAGTAGGGAAATCCCAGTGCGCTTCTAACTGTTGGGTTGGTGACCGTGCCCATTGTAAAGAATGATGCTCAAGATTTGCTGCGCTGCAGCACCTTGAAGTCTCTACCACCACCCATGGACAGCACCGGAGGGTATTGTGGTTGCATTGGACATTAAGAAACATTGCCTTCAACGGAGTACAGAAGTTTCTACTTCAGTCCCATCAACCATGCGCTCCAGTCAATGAGTTGAAAGATTTCACTCCACTCTGCCGATAAGCCTGCAGCTTGTAGGAGCTGGCCACAGACGAAGCCGTAAGGCGAGCTTTGACTACACCTTGCTGACCATACAAGACACGTCTCAAAAATACAGAGGGTAGGCCAAACCTTATGGGTGAGCCCGCACGTATAGGGACAGCTGTAACCACACCTCGCTGACCATATAAGACATGTCAAAAAATATGACAGGTCATACAGATCTACACACCCGTCAATCGGCAAGAAACCTTGTCAACCCTAGGGTAATCAACAAGAAACCTTGTCGAACCCGCAGGGGTAGGCGTACACACCGTCCCTAGGGCTACCACCTCACAGATCAGTAAACACAACATTGACTGACAAGGAGACTTGTCAGTTGCTCTTCGTGCCCATCGCAACACCTTCCCCCACACCACCACCACCACCACAAGAGTAGGGGAGATTGACAAGAAACCTTGTCGAACCTGCAGGGGCAGGGGTAGGAGGATGTACACACCGTCCCTAGGCCTACCCCCTCACAGATCAGTAAACATGACGTTGATTGACAAGGAGACTTGTCAGAACTGCCAGAGGAGTAGGGTTGCTCTTCGTGCCTGTTGCAACACCTCCCCCCNCCCCCCCCCCCCCCCCCCTTGCATCTGCGATAAACCACAGGAGAAGAGGTGATTGACAAGAAACCTTGTCGAACCTGCAGGGGTCACCTCCCTACCCGAGGTGTAAACACACTGTTAAACCACCGCTACCTTTCCCATATGTCGGCCGCGGGCATCTAGTAGCCTACTCCTGACAAATAGCCGCCACGCAGCCGTCGATATTTTTCATCGACAGCACGTGGCGGCCGAATTTGAATCGAGGCCAGCGGCCCCACATATGAGAAAGGCAGTCGCGGTTTAATTGACAGGAAGGGCGAACCTCCCGTAAGAGTCGGCTTGCTGCCAGCGCCTATCACTAGTCCTACCCTCCTTACAGGCCTAAGAATCCATTACGAATCCACAAACAACGCTGGTCAAACCTGTCGTAGGGGGAAGGTCAATAAATCGTCAACTAGTTCTACCTCCTAACAGATCTGCCACATGGTTAATAGAAAAAAGACAACTTGTTGAATCTGCTACCTCCTTATAGATCTGCCACATTGTTAATAGAAAAGACGACTTGTCGAATCTCGATCAGGAGTAGAGGGTCATTGTGAGGTCTCTAGTCCTTCCTCCTGACAGATCTGTGAACGCATGATGAATTGGCTAGTGTTTGGGTGACCATAGGAGTAGGGTCAACATGCTGTTGGCGACCCGTGTTACTCCTAACCCCTCAGAGACCCCCTTATAGATCTGAGAACACATTGTTAACAGACAAGAAGAAATGCTAAACCTGTCATAGGACCAGAGTAGCAGCCCAGTAGCCTTTCCCCGTCTTACATACGCAAGTGGACCAGCCACATACCGAAGGTCTACAGAAGAACGCCATCACAGAGGAGGTCGCGCACACCCCTTCATTCTCCAATACTTTTCCACAGATCAAGAAGATTAGTGGAACTCGCCATACAAGTAGGGTCAATGCACTGTTGCTCGTCCTGCAACCTGGTAGATAAGACAACAGAAACAGCATCTTAAACCACCGGTGCCGGCGGGCCTATTTCACGTGAAGGAAAGTAGTCCCGTCACAATACGAATTTTACCTGGCCGCAGGAAGGCCGGTACACGGAAATGCAGCCTCGCATTGAAAGTGCAGTGCTGCCTCCTTTTGCACGACCACACATTTCGGAGGAGGATGGGTATGGGGACCACCGGTGCCGGCGGGCCTATTTCACCTGAAGGAAAGTAGTCCCATCACAATACGATTTTTTTTTTACCTGGCCACAAACAGGCCGGTACATGGAAATGTAGCCTCGCATTGAGAGTGCAGTGCTGCCTCCTTTTGCACGACCACACATTTCGGAGGAGGATGGGTATGGGGACCACCGGAGGCGGCGGGCCTATTTCACCTGAAGGAAAGTAGTCCCGTCACAATACGATTTCTTTTTTACCTGGCCGCAGGAAGGCCGGTACATGGAAATGTAGCCTTGCATTGAAAGTGCAGTGCTGCCTCCTTTTGCACGACCACACATTTTGTCGGAGGATGGGTATGGGGACTCCCGGTTCAAAGCTCCGAATTTGAAACAGAGAACCAAAGCCCAGCGGAAGAATGTCATCACAGAGGAACAGACGACTCCTGCATTCTCATTTCATATTTCTCCGGATTTCTCCAAATATTATTCTGCAGGTTTTCCATCTCCAGATAATATATTGAACATTGTTGACCAGGTTCTATGTTTCAAGAGTGCACGGATGGTCAGAGATTACTCGTCTGACACGGCAACGACTTTACCTCTTTGATCGGCAAACAACCGAACCCTTGGAACGTCGACCTTCCACCATTACTGATGGGGTAAGCCTACGCCTTCATCAAAGCCTGTCAGACTGTGAGACCTATAGAAGTCAAACAGAGTCGAAAGTCGGTGAGACTACGCCTTCATCAAAGCCTGTCTGACTGTGAGACCTAGAAGTCAAACAGAGTCGAGAGTCGTTAAGACTACGCCTTCATCAAAGGCTGTCTTGACTGTGAGACCTAGAAGTCAAACAGAGTCGAAAGGCGCCCATAGTGATCCGGGGCCCCGGGTGGAATGTCCGGCTTCGGTAAGAAGGGAGTCAAATGGAAGAAGGGAACAAGACCCAAGCTTTTGCAATTCGGTTCCCTTATTTCATAACAAGAAGATTATCCCATTACGCGGATCCACTCACAAGAAGGGGACCTGCTTTTGCCATTCCTCCTATCTCACTATCTCATACCCGTCGGTGATGATCCTCTTCAACCCAACAAGCCCTCTGATCACACAACTTTGTACAGAAATCTACATCTAACAACAACCTAATAACAGAGGCCTCCTACTCCTCCAGCCCTCCGAAACCCTATTGTCCACTTCCCTATACTCTTTGACAAAATAAGCCATCCCCCCCCCCCCCCCCCAACGGGAGTGCCGTCAACCCTCCACAACAATCTAATGCAAGTGTCCCCCCACTACAGCACCCCTCGGAACCCCCCTCACCCCCGCTACTTCCCCTCCCAGGTGCACCTTCTCCCTCCCACTAAGCAAATTTCTTAAGCCACCCCTACCACCTGAACAATCAAAAGGCAGCGGGAGGGGGAGGATGGGGGGGGGGAGAAGAGAACTGTGGATGTAGCGCGGCCAATCCACTGAACCAACTGAAAAAGGGTGGGCCTCCTGGTAATCAGGGCGGTCGTAGAAGATAGGCCCTCGCTCCACTAC